GTCGGCTCCGGGCTCCGCGGGTTGTGCGCTGCGGGGAGTGAAGTGACAGGTATCTCAGTGTCCCCTCTCCAAACTGCATGGCATTACATTACCGAAATTAAAATATACTCGGAAAGATCAAAGCTTTTGTAAACCACAAACATGCTCAACTGCCATCAACTTCCAGTTCTTGGGCTGTGAGGGGCTGGTGATACTCCAGGCAGTGCCAAATTTGAATGAGGTGGCACATACCTTGACATGGCATTGCATGGCATGGTGCTGCTGGCGTGGTGCTGCCACATCCATGGCACAACTGTTCTATGACCATATGCTTTTAAATGCTTTGCCCACAAAAAATCCAGAGCTGACTGGTAGTTCAGAGGAGGAAGGAAATGTCAAGGCCAAGAACTTTACAATGAAGGTACTGTTTCTTTTTCTCTCCTACCTTTCTGCCCTAAGCACACTAGTACTGAGTGCCAATTCTCAGAGCATCCTTTATTATTTTAATTGACACACTGAGGTGAAAGAGAAGAAGTGATTTAAGACAGCCAAATCGTAGCCATTTTTTCCCCTGTGGATGGTACTTTATATCTCATTACAAAAACTGGACAACATGAAGAACTATGCTGCGAGACACTTCATCCCACAGGCTTTAAATTGTAGGCAACTGCATTTTACAGCTTCTGAGTGATTTTTCAAGGATAGCTGTATGCAGAGCTCTCACAGGAGTCAAGTTTGAAGGGCACTAAATCACTCTTGTGATGCATGGTTCACTACTCTTTTTCCAGGAGTAAATCTCTCTGCATCTATGATTGATTGCCTGTACCTTGTCTTCTTGGCTACTGAAAGCAGTACAGCATTGTTGTCAGAAAAGCTGCAGGAGCAACTAAACCACTGTTGCTTGTGCTTTCTAAATTTCTATTTAAATGTGAGATTAGAGAGTGACATACGTTGAAGGTGAGAAGCCTTACTTCAGCTAGAAATACGATGTAAAGATTTCCAGGGGACCACGACATGAAGCACTTTGATCAAGTGTTTGATCAGGGATGCTGTGACTACTTTGAAGAGCCATGCAATAGCAAATAATGTTGTATTTGCAAAGGAGATTTTTCAGTATACTGGAATTCTGTATCTTAAAGTTGGAAGCAGTTCTACCTAGTGTCAAAAGGTAACTCGTTTTTCTGGATTCCTATGATCAAACAGTCACGGTATGAGGAGAAGAGATTTGTGCACTTGTATAACCTTTCCAGTGCTAATAATGATTTAATGCAATACACATGCAAAGCGTTCCTAGCATGGACATTATTACGTTAGCAAAGCTGTGCTAACAATAGAATGAAAACAGTCTTTGTGGATGAAACTACAGCATAAAAGCAGTTTGCTGGCTTCAGAACTGTACATTTATGCAGGGGCTTATCATGTGCCTGCACTGTTCAGTGATCTTTCCTAAAAAAGCTATGCCAGCAAAAATTTGTGATAGTCCAAGAACATTCTGGAGGGCTCTGGAAACTACATGAGGGAACATGGGATGCAAATAACTTCAGACAGATAATAAACATTGCCATTATAGTAGAACTGCAGACTGGTTTGGATTGGAAGGGACCTTAAAGCTCATCCAGTTCCAACCCCCCTGCCACAGGCAGGGACACCTTCCACTAGACCAGGTTGCTCCAAGCCCCGTCCAGCCTGGCCTTGAACACTGCCAGGGATGGGGCAGCCACAGCTTCTCTGGGCTAAAAGAATTATCTAAAAGAATGATTAAAAATGTAGAATACTAAAAGGAAAGGTAAAGTTTGTCCACTGAACACATTGGCAAAACTGGTGGGTTGAGGAAATGGAAGTCTTGCTTCAGAAGTCTCCAGCAGTACTGAAAACCAGACCAAAGGCACAGCAGAGCTGCAAACTAGGCTGTTGAAATCTGGAAAGCTGGCACTGTTCTCGGTGATTGCAAATTACTAAAATTATTGGTTGCAATTGCTATCTTGGACTGCAAACAAACAAACAAAATTCTAAAAAAACCCCCGAACAAATATGAACACAGGAGACAAAGCTTGAACGACTTCCCGCAGTGGAGTAGTCCTAACCTCTAGTAGCCCCATGAGGTGTTTTACCTTATCATTATTTTGTGGGCTGAGTACAAACCACTTGATTTTAGTTTTTGACTGCCTATCTTTGTTACAGAAAAGTAAGGTCAATTGGACTGTCGATTAACTAATAAAGAAGTTAAAAATAACATAATGATACTTTGAATCACATTAGTATTCAGATATTCCCAGATAATTTCACAAATAAGCAGACTGATCAATAACATTTCATTTCTTTGTGCTAAAAACTTAAAAATCTAATTAAATCTGCAAGAATATCTATTTTTTTATACTGTGTTAACTTAGTGTTTCCATGGAAAAGGAAGGCTTTTTTGAAAACAACAGGTGTTCTATGTGCACTTAGGCTGTTTTTCAGTACAGTTAGCCCTCCCATTTACATATTTAGCTGATGTGTTGTTGGAGATGTGTGTGGTCAGAAAGCTGTCTTCAAGTTATCTGCGTGGCAAAGCTTGTTAATAAGTTTTATTTGACCACCTGAATACAGCTGAAGAAAGGCAAGCATTCAGGCACCTGAACCATTCCTCAGACAGTATTTCAGCTGCTTTTTATTACAGTAGTTTTAGTCAATTTTAAACACAGTTCAGGTTGTCTATGACTAGTTTAAAATGTAGTATCATCCAGATTATGACATTTTACTTTCTGTTTAAAAACTCCCAACAATGCATGTTAGAAATGTTTTTAATGTCACCAGGGTGTTGGTGATAAAATGTCATTAAGTCTCATAATTTGTGAGAGATCACTTACCTATCTACTTACCCTATTAACCTTATTTTCCTTCTTTCCTTTAAGTACACATCTCCAAGAAACTTGGCAGTTTGTCCTTAAATTAGTATATAATAGTATTTTCTCAAGTTGCACATAAGAAAACTACACAAATTGATTATCTGTGTTGTATCAGATGATTTACTGCATTTATATAATTCATTATTTTTAGTAGCATATTATTTATACTCTACCTTTTAAATGGCAGGCGACAAACAGCAGAGCAGTTTTTTTTACACTTAGGAATGGAAACTTCGGCTTTAAGCAGCCTACTTCATTAAGAGCTTTTATTAGAGAAGTTGCTACTCCCTAAAGAGAGAAAACAGTTATAGAAGACCATTACAGAAATCTTAAGTCAACACCTGATCCTGTTGTCATGCAAATCTAAAAATACAGGATGATACCTAAGTTGTGAATTGAAGAAGATAAGAAATAGTATAAAATAGGGAGGGAAGTGACTATAAATAATTTTTTTTGTTTCATGCTTATGGCTCAAAATGTAACCCACTGTGCTTAAATGATTCCAGATAGGCTTGTGTCTATCCTGATTTTAAAAATCAAGGCAAAATGTAATCTTACAATATATGAAAAATAACAGAGTCAGAAAATCCATTATATGATACTGCAGTTTGTTTTTCCCCTCTGATTTAAAGCATCTCAATTGTAAATACGTAATTTTCAATGTAATATAATCCCATAATAAATGTAAGACTCATACTGCATTAAAAATGAAATAAAATGGGTGGGATATACTACGCATTGCAAAATCCTCTTTTAAAATAGAAAAGCAAAAACTGGCCTGTTCAAGGTATCCAGTCAAAGGAAGTGCAGTGAGTAGTATTGGCTCCTTTACTGGAGGGAGTTTACGTGGAAGTTTCAGATTCCAGTACTTCTCTGGTAACCTGAACAGATAAAAATAAGCACTTTTCAGATGTGTAAACAGTGACAGGATTAAAGATTAAAATGCAGTTAGTATTTCACCTCATAAACTTCAGAAGTTTTTCTTCACTTTCAAAAACATATATCTTCTCTTTATATTTTGCTGAGTACTCAATGTTGCCAGGCACCAAAGCTTCGTATCTGAGGAGATGGAGCAAGAAAGAGTATTAATTCACAAGAAATGTAAAACATCATTTGTGCGATGTAAATTCAAGAGCTACTGAGACCCTTCGGTAATTTAGCAAATACAGGAACTACAAAAAAGTAGCAATTGGATCATCCAAGTTTCCAGCATATGACTGACACAAGGCTTAAAATCTGAGAGTCTCTGCCTTGAAACCTGCTTATTAAGGGGCTTTTATTCTGTTTCTTTAGAGCTTTTCTAGTAAAAACGACAATCATAGTTGTTCAGGAGATTAAGAAGGGACAGCATAGAATTGACTGTTACACTTCTACCTTGATGAGAAATTCCTGCACACTGAGGAAATCAGTGGTGGAACTTTATAAAAATCATAATAGGTAGTTTGCATCTACAGAGGTATTCTGAGGTTTGTTTGGACTTTTGAGGGCTTATGATAGAGAAAACTCAAACTATAGCCATGCAGTCTTCATCATGAAAAGCGGTAAGGCAACACAGATCCTTGTAGAACCTGTAGCCATATGAGTTTCAAAAAGTGATTCTACATTGATTTCCAAAGCCACAGGCACAATATAGTGAATCATAATTGCTTTTCCTGTCCAAACCCTGAACACTATTATTGAAAGTATTTCCTCATTAATGTGTTAATGTAGGACACATAGCCTGTAATTCAGATTATAAAAACTACAGTTATGTACCTCTGTTTTCCATCCAGGTAAGTGACTGGACAGCATCCGTGCATTTGAGCACTTGCAGGGAATGAGGCCTTCACTTCTGCTGCAGTCAGTTTCTTTGGTAGCATATCTGAGGGTGGGAGAGGGTGAGGTGCCAGTGGTGACACATAAACCTCTGGTCTGCTCAAGAATTTCTATAGAAAAAGAAATTAAATGGTTTTATAATGAAAGAAGCACTGTTAAGACTGTTAAGTCAAAACTCCAGAGGACTGGCTCACACACATTAGATACTAGTTTCTTGTACAGCACCTGTCTTAGTGTGCTGGCGCTGCTGCTGCTGCTTTCAGGTAAGTAATTTCTTTTCCAATCCAGCCTCCATTGAAGTCATTACTATCCACCCACCATCCATCACTATCCATTGCTATCATTAGCCGCTCTCTACCCGCAGTCTCCCCGAAACAGACAGAGAAAGAAGGAAGTGATTGCTTTAAAATGAATGTTTGGTCTCTGATAATTTTAAGAGGAGCTTTGGTTTGTACGGACTCTGCTGCATTTTGTCTGCCTAGACATTTGATAGCAGCCGTACTCAGAACAAGAGCTTGAATACCAAGAACACTAGTCTAAATCAGATTACATATTGTTTGATTCTGTATGGAATCAAAGAATCTAGGCAACAATGTTCCATTTTCCCATAATCCCCTCTTGACCCGCTGTTTGACACTTACGTCCAGTTCTTCCTGTGAAGCCATTTTGTAATAGTGCCCTCGAAATTCTGCAGCAAACTGCAATGATGTTGTTACAGAGCAGTCGACCAGTTCACCCTTTTCTGCAAGGCTGACGGGACAGTACTGTCCAAACTCCCCCAGCCGGTGCTGCAGCTCTTCAGGAGCGATACATAATTCAGCAATGCTGGCTGCTTTGCCTGGTAATAAAACCAGTGTTTTATTAATGAAAAACATAGAAACATCAAACATTTTTGTTCGGAAATGTTACAGTTTAGAAGATACTGCAATTCATTATGTGAAAATGATATGACATAATGAGAAATAGTGATTTTTATAGATATGTATTAAAATGAATTTGCAACCCATTTTACCTATTAATAACATTTTTCTAGCACTTATTAATGATGTGGGATACTCTGTGTGCTTAACTTATTCTGTTTTCCCTGGGCCAGTTTTATTTATTTTTGATTGTTTTACTTGTTCGTGTTGCTAAGCTATTTTGTTCCTTTATATTGGTGGAAAAGTGTACAAGGTGCGATGAAAGTCTCCCCTTTACTCATCCATGTCTTGCAAATGCTACAGTCTATCTGGATGATATATATTCAAAATCTTGAATAAAATGTCATAGAAAAACCAAACTATTTTAAAATTATGCTTTTCAAGCTTGATGTGAATTTATTTTTATTTTTTTTTTGCTTATGACTTTTAAGAGGGTTGCAGCCACAGAGCTGTAAAAGTTAAAACTAGAAAGTAAACACGAGATAAGGGAGTTTGCCCTTCAGAGGCAGACAGGACTAAACATACAGGTATGTTTAACCCTGACCAATGCTGACACACAAAAATTGAAGTGGGAACTGTGTCATTTTAGACCAAAGTGGTTTTCCCCAGCACAGAATTTAGCTCGGGTGGAATATTTAACCTTAATTCCAAACTTATAATTAACATTTTCTCCCTCCTTCTGTCTTCCTCCACCGACACTTAAGTGAAGCTGCAAGTTATAGTCCCCTTTGTATACTTTGAGGTATCCTTTGTGATTTATCACTGAATGTTGAGGAATCTGCAGTGGACCATGAGACCTCTGACATCTTTCAGCTGTATTCTGATATCCCGTTCTTTGGAGAGTGACCTCAGACTGTCCTGTAATTGGTTTTGTCTTTACTCTTTTTCAAGAGATCTCTTCAAGATCTCTGCAGATGAGATTGAAGAATTTGAGGCTATGTATGTGCTCAAGAATTAGCTTCATCCAAAGCAAGTTGAAGTTGAAATGCACTCATTACATTGCAGCTTCTTAAAGAAACAAATATTATTCTGAAAAATCTTGTTTTTTTCTTTTACCTTCTCTTATTCTTTCCAGGTATATCTGGATTTCTTTAATAACCACTTGAACTTCCTGCAGTACTTTGTTCCAGATCCACCACTTGCTATGAGAAGCATCAATCACACACCAGTTCTGATGCTCCTTCTTATAGTAAGTCCTGATTGCATTAATGTGCTGTTCATAGCAGGATTTTTTAATAGCTAGGATCTGTGAGCTGTCATGCTCAGGGTAGGGAGGCCTGAAGACAATAGAAAATAACACTGATTTAAGTATGAAGATTAGATAATTTCATTGAATTTCATGTGCAAATTCTAGAGTTCACTTTAAGGCCTTTTTACAAAATTCTGCTTATTTGACACTATAGAACATACTTGAGAAATACAAATTTCTCTTTTAGAATGTTACCATTTACAAATGAAAAGCAGCATACTTCTGATCAGACAGTTATGTTCAGAAACAAAGAACAAAACTTTTGCTACTTAAGTTCAGATACAAATCAGTAATTCCATAAAGGATTTGGACTGTATCAGCACATATTAACTGACACACATTTCTAATACACCATTAAATGGTATCCTAGACAAAATGCTGTGAGACTTTTTAAATGGAAATCAATTGTTAATGAAAAGCAGGCTTGGTTTTGAATTGTGCCATTGTTTGAAATCAAGAATTAGCCACAGTCTTTGGATATATTTTGAAAATTGTCTATCATATTTACATATACATAAATTAAAATAATCCATCTGAGCTCTAAAAATATTATGCAAGACCAGGAGAGAGATTTTGACTAAAACACAGAAGCATTTGGTGTTCTGGTTCTTAATTTAAATGATGCCAAAAAAAAAAAGGTAAACTTCTGTTTTAACAGGATTAATTTCTCTGTAATTTGTACCTTTCAGAAATATCTGATATTGCACATTTGATTTGTATTTAAGCCAATGAAATGTAATTAGTTTGGTATTTAAAATGAAAAGTTTGAAGTAAATACTTTCAAAAAGACAGCATTAATTTAATTTTTTGCAATGGAAATAGTCTTTAGGCTTTCAGTAAACAATTATGCATTGTACTAATTACTTGATAAAAAGAAAGAGGCAAAATGAAGGAGACATGCAATAATGCTCTAAGCTATCTGGAACTTCTTAGAAACACTTCCTCTAATGAGAACCAGGTTGTCACACAATTTAATTTTAAGGTGAATGTTCTGTTCTTTTTAATTCTCTGACCATTTATAAACTACTGACTACTCTTCTTCAAAAACAACCAACAGTTCTTTTAAACAGAATGTTTTTATCTCCTTCGAAAAACAAAGAAGGGACTGAATTTGAACTGAGTATTGCATGATTAACTCACGAATATGTGAGTATACATTATTAAAATATACGTTGTTTCCTTCTTTTAAAAAGAACTCAAATTAAGACTGAAAAGAGAGCTTATTAGATGAAGTATCAATTTCCCTTATGATGGTAATAATTGAATTGACAAATAATAAACTCCATCAGCAGAGTGAACTAGTAACATTTCTGATGTATGGTTTCATTAAAACCGGTTTAACTAAGCAGTGGGTGCACAGCATTGCACATCTGTGACCTCAGTCATGCCAGCAGGGGATCTGGCCAGAGCATGCCACAAATTCCTTATGTCTTTGTTTCTGATCTATGGAAATCAGAGCGTTAAAATGCAGAGAGACTGGTGCCCATGTCTTCTCATATATGGAGTTTGGAGACAGCTGGTTTATGCACCAGCTTAGATACAGCCTCTCTGGGTATAGCACTTGAGGCACATAAACAGAGAAATTACAATATTGTGTGGGTAAAATTATTGGTATCATTGAGCATCACTACCTATTCACGCTTTCCTTATCCAGCAGTGCTCTTCTGAACACTTCCTTTGTATCCATTTCTAATTCAAAGATCTTCATTGGAATTATCCTAGCTGATTCCAACAGGTTTACTTGGTTTGTTGTTACAGGATATCCATCAATTACAACTCTGTGTACAAACAGAAACAGAAAGACAGATTTCCTAAGAAGTCAGTATTTAATTAACCATTAAGACTGTATTTCTTAGTACATTCTCAATTGAGACAAAAGTCTACAGCCATGCCATGAAGTTATTGCTTCCCTGATTTGATAGACAAGTCTTCACTCCTTACAATTAAAAAAAAAAAAAAAAAAAAAAAGGAAAAAAAATCAAATAGCTAGAATAAGAAATAGTAAAGAAAATACACAAAGGGCAAAAGGTATAGGAATGTAAGTGGGTGGCTCTGACTTGTAAAAATGGCAGACTTTAAAATTCTGACACATCAGTCTTTCAGAAACATAATTTTAAGTGTGAAAATCTCCATATGGATTGAGAGGAATAGTTTTAAATTTAGAAGTAAAATTATATACAGTACTCGAAAAGTCTTTTTAATCATATTAAATAAGAAATGCTTTTCACTTATTAGGCAATACTGGGGTAAAATATATTGAAACAATATTCCAGTATTTAACATGAAAAAAGTGTTGAAAGAATTCTGCTCTCAAGCTACTTTTCAGAGATTATTCCAGAATTGCCTTTCCCTATAAACAGTTCTCCTTTTTGGATAGAGGAGTTGAATGTCATAAAATAATGATCATGAAGCTTATTAAGCCTGCCTAGTATGAAAGGTGTTTTAGTGGTGGAGAAAGAGCCTAGGAAATCAGGATCACATAGGAATGAGGTGTAAAGACTTGCTGGTTTCAGTTCCTCCTTAATAACTTCAGTTGTAGCAAAACCAGAAAAAACACTGAGTACTGAACCAGTCTGCGTGACCAGAGAGAATCAGATGCCTGAGTTGGTACTGGAGTTGGTTTAAGAGAGATAAAATGGTAGTTCTCGAAGGATAATAGAAAATATTGGCTTATTGCCTGAAGAAGGGTAGCTTCCATAAAGCATATTATTTGGATTTACTGCAATATACTTACTTGAAAACTGCAGAAATTTATGCTTGTCTGGTTTCCCAGAGTAATGTGAAGAAGCTCATTTTGTATGGATTATTTTGTTCATGCATAAACCACTGATGTGTCTTGAAAAAAACTCCGAAACCCAAGCAAGACTCTTACCCAGTAGTATTACACACGTAGTTCATCAGAGCCACATCTAGAGCCTGGATGGCCAGTGCATCAGGTACGGTCAGTCCTTTGTGAAGGTGCTGGTTTAACGTAAGTGCCAGCTGACTCTCAGGCTGATTGTTTAACACAAGCCGCATGGCATCTCCTATACTCAGACGCAATAACCCATATACACTTGCAAATTTCTTGGCAACTGCAAAATATTTTGATTTCAACACACAACTTTTATGTAAGCAATATCACAACTTACTTTGTTAAAATACGTCCTTAGTCTTAGAAGTTAACCGCTCAGCTCATTCTCTCGGTCATTTCCAATGCAGAATCTTGGTGAGTGGGTACCCTCAAGGGCCAAAACCTTTGCATAGACTTGTGCAGAGCATGTCCAATGCACTAACAGCATTCAATTCAGCACTTCAATTGCAATTGCAATTGAACTGCAATTCAACAACTTCAGCAGCAATAGTCAGTATCATTACAAAATATTGTAGAAAAGATGCCCCTTTTACAAAACAGCTTAGCAGTTAGATCAGTTTTCCAGGGAATATGGTTAAAATTTCCTCCGTAACTGGAGATAATTTGAACCCACCTCTTCTTTTTTTAATATCCTATTCTAACCATTAAGCTATGGTGTAAGCTAAATTTTCAACTTCCCATGTTAAAGGCAGAGACCTGTGGATTGAAAGAGTCATGGAGAAAGAAGGAGAGGGGAGAAAGAAAATCTAGAAGTTTGGAAACAGACTGGGGAATGTGAGGTTTGGGTTCTGGTCCTATATTATATAGGACCAGAATATATAGAATAGGAATATTTCTTCATTTTACATTAGAGCATATTGACAGAAAGAAATAAAAAACAATTAGAAAATAACAGAAATAATACAGGAGGTACAAATAGTGTAAGTCCACATTTCCTATGTGCTAGTCCAGGTCACTAACTTCTTAAGAAGCTGGGATAAAATTCAGATAGACAACGCATAAGTATCTGATCATCAAGACACTAGAGAACGTAACTAAAAGAATCTATGCCTGGCAAGAAAAGCAGGAAGACCAATAATATTAATGGTTTATGATTTTTAAATAGCAGTAATGACAGGTTATTAGATAAGGTTTTGCTCTATAGATAATACTGGTCCTACCTGTAGTCTTTCCAGACTTTGGAGGTCCCACGATTGCAATCTTAACTGGCACAGCTGGTTTAGGTTTTGGCTGACAAATATATTTGATGGGATTTTTCATAAATGTTTCTCTATTTTCTTTACTTGAAAAGAAATAAATATATTGTCGATGTATTACAGGAAAGAGTTTGTTTCCATAGCTTTGTGGTGGCTTCATTACATCTCCTTCACTTAGCTGTAGAATATACAAAATGGGAAGCAGTTGATTAGGTTTGACAAGGTGTACTCTCCCTCTGTCCTACAGAAGTGGCTTTATAAGTGGGTAGAGGAGTATGAACTGTATGAAACAAACCATCAAAGCATTCTGAAATTCATACATATGGGCATAATATTTTGTCCGAGTCTGAGGAACTTCCGTACATATGCAATTCTTACACCAAAAGGTAAAGTGAAAATTGAAGACATCAAGAATATTCACTGTTTCCAGTAGGTGGTACCATAACACTTTTTGTCCATCACAAGAGTGTAGTCAGAGGATATAACATAATACTTTTTTAATTTTCAAAGAATAAAGAAAATAATTTTATTCCTCTATGAATTATGAATTATTTTTCAGCTTGACAGTGTAAGATACACTGAGAATATTCAGCAGAATATTCAGCAGAAGTCATGTACAAATGACGAGAACAGAAAAAAATATCAATACTTAAATTATGGTGAAGTGTAAAACCACAACAAGGCCAGCCAAAAAAACTTTTGGTAAAATACATACACTGCTGTTGAAATCTTTTCAAACGCGTCAGACAGCCCATTAGAAAGTCTGTAGTGTTGATAGATTATTGAGCTGTGAGAGGAGCACTAGGTCATTGCAGAAATGCTTAAATGCATTCCTTGCACCACTGTTCACTATGAAAGAACTTAGTCGTGTCCCCATTGCAGCCCTTCTTGGAGGAACTGCCTTAAAGTGTCAACAAAAGATGTTTCAGAACAATCTGTTGACACTTGCAGAAAAAATTGCCCAGACCAGATGTCATTCACCCTACAGTTCTAAAGTGACTCAGAAGCGAAATTGTTGCTGACTAATGTGTAACCTATTGCTTACATTGGCCTTCCTTCCACAAAAAAGGAGAGTGGAGAAAGTGATTGTTTTTTGAAAAGGCCTCCAGGATAGATCCTGGCAAACAGTCCAGTAAATCTGACCCTGTATTGAACAAATTGAAATACATTAAGGAGGAAAAAAACCCAGAAGTTACAGGCATACACAGGAAACAATGGGGAAGAGCCAACTTGAGCTTCTTGTAAAGGGAAATCATACCTCACAAATCTACTAGTATACATTGAAGGAGTCAGTAAATATATAGGTAAGTTGATTTGGTTGTTACAGTAAGAGATGGGACTGTTCTGCTGTATGGCATTACCTTGCCAGACTCTTTGATTCTCAGGTTCCTGTTCCTGCATCAATTCATTTCAAGGTGCTTGTCCTCAGTTTGTAAGACATTGGGAGTCTGCTCTACTGTGTATCTGCCTTATTCCTCCCTCAGCTCATAATTTTTATTCTCTGCTTATCTAATCAGTTGCATAACTCCTTTCCTTCACCCTAAATTTAATCTAAAAGTAATTGGCATGTACTCTATCTGTCTTCATGCAAAAAAAGCTCTGGTCTGTAATCAATTTCATAATTTCTATTATATCTTAAAATTCTCTCAAAATGATCCTATTTCCCTTTCATTATTGTCAGCATGTACATTTCCACTGTTAGCACACCACTCTGATTTTATCTACTAGATTTCAGTGACTTCTTTCTTCTAACTGAATTGTACTTTCTGGTTGGTAAAAACCCACTATACACGATGAATGGAGAAATGGAATGACAAAAATGTAGTGAAATCTAAGAGAACAAAGTGCAAAGTCTAGCATGCAGGGGCAAATAAGAATTAAAAATATAAGCTAGGGCTAGTAATTGGAAATGACAGAAGAGATATCTACCTCTGTCAGTATGTCCCTAGATTATTAGATGCCAATGTGATGCAGCCATGGAAAAGGCAATTCTGATCCTAAAATATTTTAAGAATTTTGATTCTATAAAGCTGTAATAAGAGTTGATCTGTATACAGTTTTGATTGCCAAGGTTAAAGAAAAATAAATGTGATCTGGAACAGGTGAAGACCCAACATGATGACTATACAAAAGGGAATAAAAGTTATTTGATTAAGTAGCATAGTAAAATGAAGGCCAAAGTATGTTTCTTTCGGGAACTTCCTGTTTTCTGTATCTTGTTCACTGGGTTTTTTTAAGTCAGTTCTCCTTTTCATTTCTCATTTACTTACAATCCAACCTGTTTTTATTTCTAGCATTAAAACAAAAAATACACTCACTAACATTTCACTTGCTACTTATAAAACTGTATCAGCCCGCTTCTGGGGACAGACATGAGTACTTTCTGACCTTGACTTTCCAGATCTCAGTAAAATACTATGGAATTAGATTTGTTGCTCTTCAAATTTGTAAATTTTGACAACAAATAATTATTTCTGATGGATTATACATATTTAACATCTGATGGCTTACTTTTTTGCCACTGCTAGGGTTGGTGGCCACCTGTGTGACTTCTTACAAATTCAAATCCCAAATCCTTTCAGTTTGTTCTCACTGCTTCTGAAAAGCTTTAAGACATTCTCTGTTCTCCAGTGTTTTGTGTATCATTAAGAGTTAGGCATTTCTTTCGGGTTCAGTGCCACCTTTAATTAATACCAATGCTAATTAACGGATTTTACTAAGTGCCTCTCAGCCTTAAGTTAGCTGCAACACTGAAAAGACTAACAACTTTTATTATGAGTACTTGCTGTATTTTGTGTATATCAAGTGGTGTAGTGTTGATTCAGTAATGTAGTGTTCATGACATATTTCTGGTATTAACTGGTATTGTATGACAATATTTTTTTAATGTGAAATAATTTCTTGAAAGTATTCTTCAGCTATAGAAGAACATTACCTTAACTGGATCCCATTGACCAAAAGAACTTGGAAATTTATATGAGAAAGCTAGCATCTTCTGTGCAAGGGGTAAACTTATTGGGTAGCATTTCTCGAAAATGCTTCCACGATTTTCCATTAGAGAATTCAGCTTGCTGTATATTTGGTAGCGTACAATGTGAGGCTTCTGTCCTCCATCGATCTCGATTAGTGGTATTAACCATTTTTCAAGTTCCTCCTGGTTAATGGAAAAGTAATGAAATATTAGAATCATAAACACAATCAGATTTTTAATAATGGCTGACATTAGGATTTTCTGTGAACTATCAGGTGTTTCTTGAGCATGTTCTCAATCACTGTAAATCAGCAAAATTTGATTTGAGATAGGAATTGGCTTTCCTGCCCACTGAAGTTTAAATTAGCCAGCCTATATAAGTATCACACTATTAATAATAAAAAAATAAACAAAAAAACCAAAAAAAACCCAAAAACCAAAAAAAGAGACAGCCTGACAGTTAACTTTAAGGAATCTCCTATGATAAAGCTAAAGCTTGAGAAGCATATTTTACTTAAAAAACATTGAAATCATATATAGTTCTTTCCCTACTCCCAGCAATTTAGAATGGCTTACTTAGTTACCCTCCACAAATATTGCTGCTCTCTGGTGATTTATTCCCCAGCTTATTCAACTAAAATATAAACCAAGTCCGTTTTCTGCAGTTTTTTTCTAGCAACCTAATACTGTTATAAGTGCTAATGTGTTTTAATGTCATCATTTAGTTTTCCATAAAAGACCAAGATTACACAATGTTAAAGAGGACCAATGATTAAAGAATCAGAGAACAGCAAAGAAGAGTCTTGAGTAACAAATCAGAAATACTTACTTTCTATACTTAAAAGTTATTTAAAGTTTTTTATAAAGGCATAAATGCTCTTTGAATTAAAAAATAAGGAGAAAAATATTGAGTAAACTGTAACTAGGGGATACTAGTAGTATCCAGTACCAATTCCCAGTATGTAATTCTAGTATATGATACTACTTCTGTGTAATTCCTCAACTTACAGATATCTGTATAGATCCACAGTACTGGATATTTGCACTTACTGTCATAAGCAGAACTCAATGTAATAATGAACTATAAAACACCAGTCATCTCTTTTGTTGCTGAGATGTATGTACTTTTTGAAAGAAACAAAATTTGCTGACTCTTCTAGTGGCCTGTTCCTTTTCTGATCAAATTTTTCATCAGTTTACTAATGAAACAAATCATATGTTTCCAAATAACATGGAGGAAAAGTGCTTCAGGAACTACGGTATTCCACTAGCTTTAACTTGAAACATTGTATTGTTGTCATAAAGGCTATTCCCAGGATTTCTTGCTTCTTGCCTCTTCTGGGCCTTAACCTAAGTTCCTTCAAACTCTATTTTGCATTCATTCAGAACACCTAAAATTATTTTTGTGATTATCATACGGATACATGATTGTATGCATTGAATACTTCCATAAAATTTTGACATTTTATGGTCACTTTTGAAAGTTGAATGTATTTTTGATTTATCTTTTTCCAAAATTAATGGAAAGGTGAATCTCTGAGCACAAAACATTAATCTTTTCCACACAGCTTATGCTTCATTGTAGTGCAAAGAGTGTTAGGAGTTATTCTTGATTCATCTGATATTTTATCCATTAACTATTAAATAGAACGTTGAATCAGTCATACTTGTGGTGTTGGTAAAGGTTGGATTCACTTTGCATATCTTGCATCTATGTCTTGGCTGTCTACTGCTGTAAACTTTCTCTCTGGTCAGTGAATAGACTTTCTTCTAAGTGATGATTAGTTTCCTCCTGAAGCAAAATACTTAATATATAGTAAACAAATGGCACCTATCTACTTACTGCCTTAGATGTGGGCATTAACTTTGCAGATATCTAAAGTTAGATGAGGTTACCTCACCATAGGTAATTGCACTGATTTCAAGAACATTATGTTACTAAGAACTGTATAAAAAACAGAGTTGTCTAATAAGAATTTTGCCTTAAAAATTATTTTGAAGTACTATTCACATATTTATAACTCTCTAGTGTGGTTGCCTGCATCAACTGACCTTTCAAAAAGGAAATAAGGTCCTTAAGACTGGGTAGATCTGCCAAAAAATTGCCCTTATTTCTTTCCCCACAATATTAGTCTTATAAATTGTGTACTTTTTAAAGTATATACCTTCTCACTACAGACTTCATCTAGCTCACATATTTAGATCATGAGTACAGCAGCATGATTGTTTAAGCACTGTAACTTTTAAATTTGACAAGTAAAACTGAATATTATTCTTTTATCATGCGATAATATAATTTAACAAAATAAGCAGTGGAATAGGTACCTGTACACCTTGTAAACCATCCATGTCGGAATAAAACTTTTCTGTAATTTCATTTTGTATGCGGTCAACAGCATCAATCTCCAGTTCTTCTTCAGCCTCTTCTTCTTCTTCTTCTTCTTCTAAAAACTCTCCTTCAAGTATAGCTTCAATATCTTCAGTTTCCTCTGTGGCTTCATAATGCTCCTTATTTGCTAAAGTCTAAAAAGGTAAAATACTTTGTTGGTTTATGTCTATGATACAGATGTTTTGAATAAGCATATGGTATTGTCTCTTTTTATTCAGAAAAATCACTAATTCAACAAAACCTCATTTTGGGGTATTTTTATCATAAGTAAAAATCTAGTAAATTCTAGAAGAAAATACAGACGTATTGCATTGTGAATACAGTGAAGCACTGTACCAGTTCAAAATGTGCTTAAAAAACTGAAGTGGTATACTGCACTTTTGAGAAAAGGAGTATTATTTTCATATATGCTTGTATGTATACAATTGTAGTTTGTCAGGGCTTTGTTAGAAACAAGCATGTTAGCTGAAAGCATAGATGACAGAATTCCATGAGCAGTCAAGTAGTACATTAATGCATTTATAAATATACTACGTAATTGAGTTTGGGCAGAAATCCTGGTACAGTCCTATTCTGGATTAAGCATGGATTTGGCAGAGTACTTAAAAAACATGCCTAATTGCAATTAGTGGCACTAGTGTCATTTAACCCTGGTTTAACCCCAGCTGGCAACTAAGCCCCACGCAGCCATTCACTCACTTGCCCCCTGGTTGGATGAGGGAGAGAATCAGAAGAATAAAAGTGAGAAAACTTTTGGACTGAGATAGGGACACTTTAATAGATAAAGCAAAAGCCACATGAGAAACAAAGCAAAACAAGGAATTCATTCACTCCTTGGGCAGGCAGGTGCTCAGCCATCTCCAGAACAGCAGGGCTCCATCATGTGAAAGTTACTTGAGAAGACAAATGCCATCACTCTGAACATCCCACCCTTCCTTCTTCTTCCCCCAGCTTTATACACTGAGCATGACACCATATGGTATGGAATATCCCTCTGGTCAGTTCAGGTCAGCTGTCCCAGCTGTGTCCCCTTCCAGCTCCGTGTGCACCCCTAGCCTACTCGCTGGTGGGGTGGTGTGAGGAGCAGAAAAGGCCTTGGCTCTGTGTAAGCACTGCTCAGCAGTAACTAAAACATCCCTGCGTTATCACACTGTTCGCAGAATATATCCAAAACAGCCCATACTGGCTACTATGAAGAATATTAACTATATCCCAGCCAAAACCAGCACAGTTACTCTTACACTTAAAGTAGATACATTAAACACATTCGTAAGTATTTTGCTGAATTAGAGCATATTGAAAATTCTTTTAAAATAGTTTTTAGTGTTCATGAATTAATAGTTTCTAAAAAATCTAAACATCATGACAAACAATTTTTGTAAGAAGTTTCTGACAGTCTCTCACATTTTTACTATTCGACATTGCCCTGAAAACTCTTTAACTAAAAGCTCTAGCATTTTTAAGATACAAATGCAAACACTTCTATGTAAAATCTTTCTTATTAGATTTTATTACCTCCTCTTTCTTTTGTTTTTGTTCTGCTAAAAGTTCTTCCCTTCTTCTAGCAATCTTCTTATCCTGTTAGTGAAAAACAGATGTAAGAAGACAATGATATTTCCTAGTAAAAGTTCTTTTCTGAGAACTGGTAATGTGACTTAGAATTAATGTTCTTTCTACCTTAAAGCTCTATTTGCAGTTGTTTCCGGTATTAAAAAATACTGCAGCTTGAAGCTTTTCAGACCACACGCACCTCTCTACTAGGTGAACATATAACTAAATTTTAGTAAAACTAATTTGGCAATTTCTGAGACTGAGACTGGGGGGAGAGGGAAGACTGTGATTCTGATCACACTGAAAGTATAACACTCTTACTGGTAAGCTACAGTGTTTCTAAACTTACAGGTGTTTCCTACTATTTGGGAAAGCGACGAATGAGCATAGTATTAAATGTGTGCTGTTCCCTATGCCTGCTTAGAACTGCCTAATTTTGACCAAGTTGTAAACATTTGAAATATATTTCCCTATACATATTAGTAGATGTATGTGAAATACCTGATGGCTAAATCCTAACTCAGAAATAATATGCAGAAGCATTCTACTTAAGGCCAGTGAGGTTGATGAGCATTAAACCTGTAATTGCTATTCTTGCACACTGTAATGCTGTCACCTGAACTGAAGTCAGAGGAACTGAGTATGCCAACAAGCAGGCGGTAGTGCAATTTTAGAAATCTGTGTTAACCCCAAGCAAAGTGGCCTGGATACAAAAGCATTCTAAGCAAAGCAGGAACAAACTGCGCAGATTAATTTTCTCTGCTCTTGTGACTGAATTCTGGTGTTCCTGATGACACAGCACGGCAAGTATACTCATTGCTTTCAATGTCTTGTTGCCAGCTTCCTTCAGTGGAGAAGGAAACTCTACGGCAGCATTCAATTCATCTGCCTGTTTTTTCAGACTTTTCTGTATGTCCTCCAGCTTTAATCCTTCTAATAGAAGAAGAGTTAACAGGACACTCAGCAATGCTGCATTCTCACAGCACCATCTGACTTGCTCACCAACTGTATGCTATAGAAAAAATGTTCTGTAACTGAAAGATGTATATTGCAATACACACGAGCAAAATATCAAATTACTGTTACTTCAGAAATACTGTTTCTGATCTTCCCTTCCTTCTTAATGCCTTTATCAATTTGTATCACTGTTTTGTGTATATGTTTTAAATGGGAACCTGTTGTTTTCTGTGTTGTCAGGAGCTATATTGATGCCTAAACAATTCATTAGAAATTTGAATCCTAGGATCTGTAGCACAGATATTTGCCACATGAATTGTCAGAGTAACTGCCTATAGGGTGAACTTAGTACAGCAATAGTTGCACAGTTGGTCACTAGGATGTACCTTTTCCAGCAAGATTTCCAACTTGCATCAGGAAAGACTAAATTGAAAAAATATTTTTACTCTCATAGATTATCTGCATTCTCAGAGCCAAACCCTGGCACAGGCAGTTCAGAAAACTTACTGGTTATTGTATGAGCCTTGTCCCAGTTTCCGTTGTACTAATTTCCTGTGTGTCAGCTGCTCTGTAGTAACCTGCACTCAGACCTTTTCTGATAGTACACGTAAAGTACTTTATCTCACTTTTACAGAAAGTTAGGAACCTTGAATATATTGCATTTGCTCATTGTAAACATCTGCATAGAAGTTTCAGGTTACTTCAAATAACTTGTAACCTGATCAGTATAAGGCACAGCTTTGTTCAAATGGGAGACTGCAGCTGCAACAGGACTGAGAATGTGGCTTAGTGCTGAGTATCACAGTTGGAAAAACAGGCACATACACCATACAGTACCTGTGAAGTCAGCCTATGGGAGATGCAGATCAACTCACAAATGTGCAGGGAATATGAGATGCAACGACAGTATGGTGCGTGAGCACCATATTTTATTTTGTATGGCCACATTCACTCTCTCCGTCTAGTTGCCTTTTTTCCAGGACTTTCCAGATGTTTGGCATTCTGTCAGACTGCCAGTTGGCTGGCAGCACAGCTGTTTTCTTGGGCTGTAAGAAATCTAAACTCCTGCATGAATTAATTGCACAGAGGAGGAAAGCAGCCCTAAATTCTTTTTAGTTCCTATGGTACATCTAGAAATGCGGTGAATGTGTGGAGTGTGTCTTCCGGCTTCCATTTCTATTTCTCTGTGTACTTTTCACTGCTTTGTGAGTTTTAGAATCTTGTGTTCAGACCCGTGCTGCTGAAATTACAAGAAAGGATACAGGACTGAAAACATACCCTTATTTTTGCTTTCAGGTCTTTCAGTTTCTTTCTGTTTTCCATTTTTTTATGCTGTCTTTCTTTCCATTTCTGCAGACATGGAGGAAAAAGACGGTCAAGAACATCACTCTCTTCTATTTTAATATAAACTGCAACATCAGGACAAAGTCCTTGTTCTGACAAATACTGGGCTTCATCTGAAGTACGAGGGAATCCATCCAATATAAATCCTGTGGACCTAATTGGAAAATAAGATATTTATCATTACACAATGTAGTTTAAAGCACAACACAGGGAAAATGCAATTAATTTGGAAAAAAAGAATCAACAAACCCAAACAAAAAAACAACCAAGTATATCCAGGTCCCTGAGCAAAAGCAATCCCATGAGTGGGTTTGCTTTTACCCGAAGCAGGAATAACCCAGACTGTCTTCCCTAACAAATTCTTTATGTGCACCACAGGAACTTCCAAGAAACTGTCATGGGTTAAACCCAGCCAGTAACTCAGAACCACGCA